ACCCACTGGTGGGGTGGGCTATGATCCTTCTGCCAATAGCATGAGGATCCCAGCAGTTTTGGTTCTACACCTGATTTGGGCCCTGGCTGGAGGGCTTCCCTGAAAGCATGTCTGCCCACAGTACGTGGAACCAAATAAGACTTCTCTCTGCCCCCACAGGATGTCTAGGTTATGGTGGGACAGCCAAGGTGTCCCCAGGATGATTGAAAATGGAGGGAATGAATTAAATAAAAGAAAAGGAGCTCCTGGTGTGGGACCCAAAACTGGACACAATACTCCAGAGGAGGACTCACCTGAATACAGTGACACACAGAACTCAGGGTGCTGTTGGCTTTTTTGCAACAAGCGTACATTGTTGGGTAATACTCAGCTTATGGTCCACCATAATCCCCCAGGGCCTTCTCTGCAGTACTGCAACCTAGCCAGTCATTCCTCAGTCAGTATATGTGCATGTGATTATTCTGTTCCAGTGTAGGATGTTGCACTTGTCCTTATTGAATCTCATCTGACTGACTGTGGACCATTTCTCCAGTCTATCCAGGTCATCTGCAAATTTGCTAAGCATGTACTCAATCCTATCATCCAAATTATTAATGAATAAACAATAATGGACCCAGGACAGGCCCATGGAGAACCTCACTTGATACCGCTTCTCAACTAGACATCAAGCCATTGCGGACTACTCATTGAGTACAATGATCCACTTATGTATCCAGATTACAGTACATCCATCCAATTGTTATTTTCTTAGCTTAAGAAGAATGTCATGGGAGACAGTGTCAAAAGCCTTGCTAAAGTCATCTCACATACACTGAGATTTTCACTTTATCATAGAAGAAAATCAGGTTGGTCAGGCATAATTTGCTCTTGCTGACTGTTCCTGATCACTTTGTTCTCCTCTTGGTGCTTTACAGTGGATTCCTTGAGGACCTTCTCTAATCATTCCAGGTATCAAGGTCAGGCTGACTGGTCTATAGTTCCCAAGATCCATCTTCTTTCCTTTCTTAAAGATTGGCACTACATTGGTGCTTTTCTGATCATCTGGGGCATCACCTGAGTTTCACGAGTTCTCAAAACGGATAGCCAGTGTCTCTGAAATTATCTCAGCCAGCTCCTTCATGCATCCCATCCCATCCAGTCTGACTATTTGAAACTTCTCAAAGTAATCTTTAACCTGTTCTGCCATTATTCAAGGCTGCTTTTCTCCTTCCCTATCTCTGCTGCTAACTTCACTCGTCATCTGGCAGCTGCCCCTTTTGTGAAAATGGAAGTAAAAAAGGCATTAAATACTTCAGCCTTCTTTGCATCATCTGTAAGTAGATTACCTTTCACATTCTGTAAGGGATCTATGGTTTCTCTGGTCTTCCTTTGACTTTTGACATATCGGTGGAACCCCTTTTTATTACCTTTTATGTCCCTTCCCAGCTGCATCTCAAATTGTGCCCTGACCTTCATAATTTTCCCTTTATGTTTGTGCGATATTCTTATACTCTTCCCTAGTACTATGACCATATTTCCATTTTTTGTAAGATTCGTTTTAGTTTCAACTCCTTGAAGAGATTTCTGTCTAGCCAGATTGGTCTCCTGTTATGCTTCCCATTCTTACAACTCATTGGGATAGCTTGCTCCTGAGTCCTTAACATTACCTCCTGAAAATATAGCCAGCTCTCCTGGACTCTTTTTCCCCTCTTGCAGATGAGCTGAGAATATAGAGGCCCGAAGTGATTTAGCTTTCCAGACAGAAAATAAGGTTTGGTCTCAAATACACTAAGAATCCAACAGGATTTGGAAATGGTCTGGAACGTGGGGAACAAAAAAAATTGCCAAAAGACAAAGCCAAAGTTGTGGTCACTAACAGTCAAAAAGGACACTAGTCTGTTGACCTGATAGCTAAAGGGAATAAGAGGAAAGTTAAGAAGTTTTGTTCTGCTTACGGTAACTTGATGATGAGACATCCAAAAAGAAATGGTGGGGAAGCAAACTAAGATGACAGACTGAATGGACAGGGCTTGTGAAACAGACTTGTGAATTACTGTCAGAAAGAAAGTAGTTGAAGAGCTGTGAATGGATGAGATGGCCAACCAATAAGGCTTACCATGGAAAGAACCACAGTAATCCCCAGAGTGGTAGAAGATGATAGGAGGAGGCTATTGAGTGAATGGACATGGAATAAGCTTGATAGCATCATGAAAGTGCATTGATGAAAAGATGAAGAGGAGAGCATGAGGATTAATGGAGTCAAAGTAACAGAGGAGCCAAGGAGGATGAGAATTTAATATTTCCACCAAACATATTTTTGGGGTCTTTGTTTTCAGCTATTGCAAACTTACAGTTAACTGAAATTAATTAATATTACAAATATCCATGACATTTAATTTTTACCATTTACACCAGTATTTTATCTTAAACATTTAAGCTGGTAATACAATACCTAAATTCTCATATTTTAAGATACATTTTTGCTAAAATTTTGTCCCAAAATGCTTTAATCTTCAAAATAAAGCCTTTGGATGGACCTGTTGCTTTGTGTATTTTTAAATGTAATTGGACAATCAGCTTAGAGCCAATGAAAGGTCATACTGGAAGCATATTATATAAATATGAATACAGACACTGTACTGGATCACTATGAATGCCCAGTATAAGTTGCGCAGAAATCACATCATTGTATAAGCTAAACAACATTACTGAGCACTATTTTTACCGTGCAGTCTGTGTGGAAGACCTGCAGTAGAGTGTATAATGGTTCCATTGACATTACATTGTGCCCAAAGGACCCATGGATCAATATAATGTCATTGGAAGTGTTGGAGTTGTTATGATGTCGATAAAAGAATAGTAACTGTGTCATTGACTTTATATCTGGTCCAAACTACCTGTGAATTGCACACATTGTCAGTGGATGGTAGGCTGGTATTGCAAACAAAGCATCTCATTGTTACAGCAACATTAAAATGGGAGTTCTTAGTATGTCAGTACAAATGCCATTGTGTTGATAGAATATTTTGGGGGAAGGAGTTACTTCATATTTTTCTTTATTAAAATATATATAAAATGAAATGACCATAGCAGACATCACATATCACAGCAGCATAAAAATAATGTTGGAAATCTAACTTAATCCAACAAAATAGAAATATGGCTTCTGATCTATTTTTCTTGTGCCCTTCTGTTTGTACATATGACAGCACAGTTAAACACACTGATATCTAAATTTTCTTATGCTTGATAAAAAGCTGAGAATCAAGAACAGCATGGCAGCTGTAACTTTTATTATCTTGCTTTGCAAGATGAAGGTAGACCTGTAATGTAATTTTAATATGGTTCTTTCTAACACAGCAGCCACCACAGGCCAATCAATGCACTGCATTATAGTCACTTAATCTGCAGCATAATGCATTGTTTTAGCACAGATTACAGTGTACAGGAACACTAGGAAAACTTTGAATGATCTCCATTTTCTGTATGTGTTAATCAGATAAAACACTACCAATAGTGAGCGCTAAAACAATTACCAGAAAATGCTTAGAGTAGGAGGAAAAACCTAATAAAACTGTAAAATATAATTAAAATATTTCAGTTCTGACCTCCATTAGTTGCTAAATCAAAGATGGCTCAAAAGAAAATGTAGCAATTAACTTTTGATGTTTACTTCTAAAGTTTAATTAAACAAATAGCATGTATGCAGCCTACGCTTGGACTCCTCACCTCCTACCCATTTCCCTTCTCCCCACTACAGAAAAGAACACAAAAAATGCTCTGAAACAGAATAACGGAAACTGAGATGTCCATTAACTTCCAACTGCAGCACAGGGACCCCAAGTCTTTAAGAAAGTAACTGGAGGCATCCACTGTATTGAGATAAGGGGAAAGTAGAAAGCTCTTCAAGGTGAGGTTATTGAATGCTGCAATGTTTGGTCACAAAATAGAGATGCTTCTTGGCAAGGGGAATGAATTTTCATGCACTATATAATCAAAGTATCCAAATTATGTCAGCAAGAACAATTGCCATTGCCTCCTATCTAGTAACAGGATAGAACACCTCAATTTGATAACTGCTCGAGAGCTGATTCTTTTTTTATTACCACAAATCTGTTTTTCACATTGTTCACACCTCCATGAACCTTAAAGTGTTGACAGACTGTTTTTAATCTTCCTTTGAAAAGGGCAGCGAGAGAAGCTTTGAATATCAGAGTAACTGGCAGCAATGAAAAAAAAAGTATGGTCTGGTAAAATTTCAGAGCTATCCCACCTCATTTCTAGGTTTCACAGTAAATATGAAAAGGTAATAACTGTAAACATAGTACTGTAAATACAGGTAAAGAAAAACAGGTTTATGACCTACCAAAAGCTGAACCTAGATTAGATATTCATTATTATCCACATCTTGTAATTCTTTCTCTATTTTCAGGTGAAACTCCCAGCATCCATTCCATGCATTATTACACTGTTCGAATATTACGTTACCTTGTAGATTATGATTCCTCATTCAATGTACAGCACTTACAATAAAAGGATACAATAATATAGCCATTATCCACAAATGAAAACATGCACTATAGACTGTATTCTTTAAACCTCACAAATATAACTGCAACGTTGAAATTCGGGTCACACCTTTTTTTTTTTTAATTGTAATCTCTGCTAATTAAGGTAGATGCTAACTAGGGGGCACTGTGTACTCAAAGGACTAAACATGAGTTTTCCTTCTGCCTTAATACCTGTATTTTAAATTCCTCTGGCTCTTATCCATCAAGAAGGGGCTGTCAGGTGAGCCCATTGTCACTCTAGCCTAGGCTAATGGATTCTCCAGTGGTTTTTGTTCCAGCTCATGTCATACTATTAAATCTATGCTCCTTGAAAATGGCATAACATATGTAGCTGAGACTTGTCAGCTCCAAGTAATCAGACTCTGCTTGGTTTCAGAAGCAGATGCAGATGAGACTAGCAATATAAATATGCAAATCACAATGGTCCCTTGTCAGCACCACTGTTCCTACCTCTAATGGCCCTCGTAGAAAGTCTGTTTGCTCAGCTCCTACTTCCAGTGCTACATCGACAGAAGCAAAGGGGCGGCTGGCCATCTGCTGTCGCTCCCGCATAAGTTGCTGAGGGGGGGAAAAAATGATGTTTTAACAAAACATTTAAGAAAATAATGTACAAGATATTAGTCTGTTCTGCTTTGCAATCAATTACAGTGTAACAATACAGGTAGCGTGCACACAGCCATATCTTTCATGCTAAACAGAGAAACCTTTAATCCACATCAGCAGCAGCTAAATTTACTTGAGGACTAAAAGAAGAAGGCATGGGATGCCTGCAATTGTCTTTCCTCCTCAAGTGAAACAAAATGTACTCTTAAAAATTCCTTGCATTGTTGTTTATGCAAAACACCTGAAAAATGTGTCTAAGTTAAAAGCAAATATGGGGAATAGTAGAAGAAGATAGTTACTTGAAGTCTAATTTCATTGATTTAGCATGAAATAGAATGAACACCTGCCAAGAACAAGTCCATTCGGCCTTCAAATTCCCCATGCTTTTGTACTGAAGCCAGATGCAGTTATTAGTGTCAGTACTTATAATTTTATGTAGCATCTCTTCTCCAATTACTTATATATGAAGAATAATGTGTGGGTATTGGGGAGCATGTGCCAGCACAACTGAAGACCTTAGTTATCCTCATTGTGCTTATATACTCCCTTGCAATCATGCCAATGTGCAAATAGGTCACAACCAAAACCACAACGCTAATTTATATTTCTTTCTCAACCTGTAATTATAATGCTCATTAAACCGTGATGAATAAAAATGATGACCAGCACTAGATATTACAAATCTTACTTCTCTGGTTCTATGCAACTAATAAAAGCATTATTAAATATTTAAAGTGGATGACTTGTGCAATTAAAGTCCGGAGCTTCTCCAACTGAAGATGCCACAGCATCTGGAAGATGTACAATGCTTCATTAGAAAAAAATCTAGATTTTCTTTTCTTGGGGTTTTACTTCCTACTATTTCCTTGCAAAGCTGAAAACATTAGGTATTGGCTTTTAAATGTAAATGCTGTCAGCACTGTGACATACTGTTCATAAAACTCCCTTTGAGATAATAAAGAATATACAAGCAAATACCTGATGGCAGCTTATTATTTAACGCTCTTGATTTAATGCCTGTTACAAAGCACCAAGTACATTTTGTGACACCTCATGCTTTTTTTTTTTTACTTTAAGATTTTCTTCATAACTATAAAACACCATTATCAATATTAAAATAAAAATAATATACTTGTCATCTAACCCATATCCTATCAGATCCTATGGCCAGGGTGTGTAAATGTGCCCAGCACCCAATAGTAGGAATTAGGCCTCCCGTTTATCATGTCCACTCAATAATATCCAGGCCCGTAGGCAAAGCTCCATTTCTATATAGTCAGATAGAATAAAAGCACTTTTGAATATCCAGATGGCTAAACACTAAGACAAAACAAATAATTTAAAAATGAGATAAAACAAAGTTTTCATGTACTGATTTGCTCCGATTGTGTATCCTATATTTTATAAATTTTACAGCCAAAAAAAAAAAAAAAAAAGGACCACTAGTCTTATCTCTAGCATAATAGAGACAATGTGATTTTCTCTGGTAAAAGTATTAAGACACTGAATGTTGAAAACACCATGTCTGGCTCATTTTCTTCATACTATAAGAAAATAGTGAAAAATGGTAACAAAGAGGCCTCATCCATATGGAACTAATTGTAGTATTGGATAAATGGGGTAAACACTGACAAATGCTTACATTCAAATGGGGCACTCAGCAGTCTGCAAAGCAAATGCAATTGGCTGCAAAGAGTATTTAACAGGCAGAAGAAACCATTTTAAGGCTACACAGATGACTGTTTTAAAGGATTTGTTTAATCCCGTTTTTAACAGAAAGCATACTTAAAGACTTCATTGTGTCTTGTTTAAGCATCGCAGTTCTCTTTACCCATAGCGCAGGCTACGTTCAATAATGCATCCTATTCACAAGGCTGTCTTTGTAACCTGGATATTCTGTTATAAGTCATTTGAGAACTATATTATAAAGATCCTAATTAGTTTTTTAAACAAAACCTAAAATTTTAAAGGGTTCAGCTGCCCATGAAATATAGTGGGGGTTTGGCAGCTGAACACATGCACATCAAAGAAATATGCTCTATTCAAAACACTGCTGCTTCCTATTGAGTGTTTAAATGCTCCCACTAAGGTGCAGAAGGGGAGAGAAAAGCCAGCTGGGGGTAGAAGGGAGTGAGATATTTCAGTGTATAAAATCACTTTTGTGCATAGAAAAGGTCACGAACTCCTGTCATGTGCAACTGTTCATGTGCCAAGGTGCTTTACAAAGGAAAATCCCAATTAAAGAGAATGGCTTGTGAATGAGATTGATGTACTGAGTGTGGCAGCCAGGTAGGGAGAAAGAAGAGTGAGATGGGGAGAGTAACACACTGATTGCTCGGGTGTGGCTCTGGACTCGCACGCAGCAATCGTGCAGTTCCCAGAGCTGAGAGCAACATCCTTTAAATAAATCAACAGGCAAAAAAGGTAGGAAACCTCCAAAGAATTCCTCCAAGCAGTGGGGTAAGGGAGAAGAGGAGGAAAACCCTTTCTTACTTCCACTGCCAGCAGGCAAGAGAGATGAAGCACAGGCCCCTGGCAGATGTTACACGTGAGACGTATTTAACCAGTTAATCATGTCTCAAGTAGGAACCCAGCCGCACATTCAAACAATCAATGGTACCCTACAACAGGAAATAAGCCACAAAGCCATTACACAAATGTGTGCGATAACTTTGTGGCTGGTTCCCATCGCACCTTAAATTGAATACGTGGCTGCTCCCAGCCTTGGCAGGACATAGTCAGAGCTGATGGGTGCTTCTAGCCTGAGGATGGCAGGTCAATGAAGTAGTATGATCTAGTCCCTAGATGACAGACACGTAACACACATCAGGCTACGGGAGAGGGTGTTTAGCATTGTGGAGAAAGCACTTGTTCTAAGCTGAGTAGATGGATTTAGTGGCTTGTTGTGGTTGATGCCTATGAATTTTAGTTGGCCATCTGGGGTAGGAGTTGGGGGTGAGGGCAGGGCAGGTGTTCTAGGGACCATAGGAATGAGTCAAATGGGTTGAAATGGGAAGATGCTTGTCTGGTTTCTCAGTGTTTGACAGCTCATAGGAAGAAAACCAAGTAGAGGCCATTTATCCTAGGAAGTTGGGAAGGGGCATTTTGACAACTGAAACATAACTAACTGCAGAAGATCTTTACTTTTGGCTGTTTAAAGGAAGTTGGCATCAACAACATGCTCTAGAGGAAGGGTATGCCTGGTGGCAGGGAAACTGTATTAGGAATTGTCGTGACCCAAGGGTATGATTTTGTGTGCGCTTCGGCACTGCAGAATTATTTCCCGCCACGAGGAGCTTTCTTTGCACGGTGCAATTCTCAGTTGCATGGAGAAAACCCCGGTGCAAAGGAGTTCCCGCCATTCGCATGCAAATTTGTTTCCCACTATTGGCTGTTTCTAAATTATTCCCACGTGGCGGCTAGCGATTGGCTTGCTAGCCGTATAAGAGGCTTGAGCGGTTTCCGCCCAAGTTGGAGAACTCCACAACCATCTGGAGGAGGAGAAGGAGGACTTCACATCTCGTGAAGAACTCTAAGCGCTGTGGAGCCTAACAAACCCAGCGTGTGCCTTAAGGAGGATACAGGGGCCTGATCAACCTCTAGCCTCTCCCCGTCGCCGCCTGATCCCTCGACGTACCCTTCCCGCGTAGTCCACGGAGCCTAACAAACTTCGTGTGTGTGTGTATCCAGAGCTCTGTCCGGGTTTAAGAGGCTCGAGTTTTCTACGGGTCTTGTTCGAGCGAGTTTTGTAACTGCAACTTAAGCGAAGTTTTTCCTGCCTGCACTGCGACCATCTACGGTGTAAGTAAAATAATCTTTAATCAACCGCTACGAGTCCGTGCCTAATTCTAGTCCACCGTGCTGAATTCCCCGACCCACGTGCCAGGGTTGCTGGCCACAGCCCGCCGCGCGCCCCCAAAAGCCTCGGACCACTCCCAGCCCGCACAGGAATATAGGCGGAACAAGTTGTATCTTACTCCTTTGTAGCCTGTCATATCTTCTCTCACTCATTATAAATCTCCAAGTCCTTTGTAATTACCATCTAGACACTTTTCCTCTCTAACTTAAGATATTCAGGCCATAGCCATTTCTGTCCTAGGAACTGACACGTCACCCAGCATCTCCTCAATAAACCACATGGCTCCTAGGAATCTCTGATGTGCCAGTATCCTGTATGAATAGCTCAATGTAGAATTGGGAAGTGATGGACAGATTTTTACAACTGCAGCTGAGTTTCACAAAGATTGGTGCCTGCTTGGGTATGAACAACGAAACCTTAAGGAGAAAGCCTTATAGGAAGTCAGTCAACTGACCAGCCAGCTGACCATATAACATAAGGCAAGCCCGCAGTTACACACACACACACACACACACACACACTTCCTCCAAGGTTTTTTCCAGGAGACAGACATGGAAAATTGAAGAGTCATGACAAACCAGGAGCCCTAGTCCTTCTCCATATATTCTTGTATTTTCAAATTGCCACATTCAATCAGCAGCAGTGTATTTTAAATGGGTTAGATGACCACAAAGTTGCTCTGACCTGACCTGAATCTAATTCTCACTAAAAAGGTTAAATTCTCATTTCCAGATGAAGACAATCACACCTAGTGATCCTTCAATGTAGCATTGACCATTTGCTTAATTACTTTTAATTGGCACAAAACAAAGATTGCCTTTTCTGTAGGTTCTGGTGTTGCTATTATTGGTGTTACAAATCTCCTTAAATTAAATTAGTTACTTGCATGGCTGGGGTGCTGAACAGTTACGTATTTGCGCTTTGAATTGCATACTGAACTTGGTTAGTTGCCTAAACAGTAGATTTCACTGAGAAAGCAGCAGCCCCACACTAAGTGCTCTAATTGTGCAGGGTTTTTAAGGTGAGATAAATCTTTCCACTCAGTTTTGAAAAGCAGAATACTGATTTTAAAAAGCCACATTGAGGTGGGCTGAGA